TTGAGTCATCACACATGAAGTCGTTCAGCCCGGAAATTGGGTTTGACACCTGGAGCTGTCACCTGCCTCTTTCCCCAGTGTTTGGGGGTGACGCCCTTACGAGAACCCTACAGGCCTCCTTGTCTTCCCCAGGGTGTCTGAGACTTCTGCAACGCCAGGGGCATTATGGTTGGATTGCATTCGCAGACCCACGGCGCGGGTGGACGTGGACGGCTTCATTTCCGGTGACAGTGGACTTGAGCAGCCCGCGCCTCTCCTTTGGAACCGCACAGCAGGTCCAATACCAATTAGCTGAGTCTGAAAAATGAGTGTGCTCTTCGCTCTCCGGGGGGAGGCAGGGTGCCCCCAGCCCGGCCTGGGGTTGCTGCCCGTTCCCCCTATTGTGCCTCCAACAAGGGCGTTTTATTGAAAAGAGCTGAGTGCATCTAATGCAGTTATCCGTGTCCGCCCCATCGGGCCGTGGGCTGGCGGCGAGGCGCGCAGCTGCCGCCGCCTCACACGCTCGCAACAAAGGAGGGCGCCGTGGAGAATTTGCTCCCCTTTGAACGGCTCATCTGGTTTCCATTTCTGAAAGGTTCCCCAATCTTTGCTTCCACCCAGCCTCCACTCGAGTGCGGGGCGGCAGGGGGGTGGGGGCGTTACACACCTCGCTTCGCTCCAGCTGTGCCCCTGGAGGAGGGTTCCCCATGTTCCTCTACCACCGCTCCCTCATGCCTGTGGGAGGCGCCGCGTGCATCCCTTTGTTTGGGCCTGGACTAGCTGGGCAAACACACCTGGTCTACCATTGACTTTAGCCACCTTTCCCGATCTGAAACTCAGTTTCCCCATCTTTAAAATGCTTGTTTGGAAGCCACCTTGATGGCTTTCAACCTTAAAATTGAGAGGGGGCAGATCCGTGAGACATTTGGCAAGTGCATGATAGAATAATTAAGACAATTTAAATAGCCTTTAATGTCACAGCCCAAAGCAAGCCATCAGCTTTGCAGACTATTTTCCCTTACTCTTCTTTGAGCATTAGAAGTCATGAATAAAATTATCATTGTATAATTGGAATCACATTGTGTATCTGGTTTTATCTCCTGTCTTTATTTATATCGGGGCGTTTTTGTATGTTCATAGTCTTTGAAAATGTGATATTTTTAAACAGCAGCAACATACAACATCATGGGCTTTACCACAACCTATTTAACCCATTCCTCTAACCGTGGGTTTTAAGGTTGTTGCCCCCATTTGGTTAGGCGACATCAGTTGCTTTCTCCCCAACACCACAGTTTAGAGAGCTAATTTTAAAAAAATAAATAAATAAAATCCTCGAGTGGCTTCTCAAAATGACAGCAGAATCTAAATCTGTTCCCCACTACAAATCAAAGGCATGAGGCAGGCACTTGCAAAACTTCCTATGACAGAGGGGAAAGGTCATCCTGGCCTCCTCCCCTGCCTGACACCCCCCAGGCACCTGCAAGATGGAAACGCACATTTGAATCATGGCCTATGTTAAATCATAGCCTTGGGTAAGCTATAGAAATCTCAGCGTCCTCAGGTGCATAGCAGAGTTCATCACACCCCCCCCTCAAAAGTCTGCAGTGACCACGCTGTACACAGCCCTGAGCGTGTGGCGGGATACAACATACTGTCACATTTACTGATGGTGTGGCACTGGTCAAGTTTCCCAGTCCCTCTGGCCGCCTTGTAGAGTAGAATGAGCCTCCCCCAGGAATGTCTCGTCTCTCAGGACTAATCCTTCAAAGCCATATCTATATCCATATCTAGTCCTGAGGAGTTACTGAATGCCCAGAAACATCCTCCCAGATCTCTGCCTGCAGCACAGCCTTTGCTTTTGAACTCGGCTTTCCTTCTCTGACTCAAAAAGCAGGACAGGGTAGAAGTGAAAAAGCTGCCTTCCCATAACCATTAATCTCCTCCTCCACCTTCTTGGGACCTTCTATTTATTTGTCCAGGTAAGTGCTGCCATCATTAGCAGCCGCCACTGACCAAGTCCCCACTAGATGTTAGACCCTGCAAAGTGTTATTGCGACATCTGTGAATTACCAACCTACCAGGGTACTAGGTATAAAAACCTGAATCAGATGCTCACTCAAAGGACTGGCCTCGTGGCAGTCTGACCACAATCTTCCTCTTCCCAGGACACCATAGTACTTGGATTCTGTCATCCATAAAAATGAGTTGCAGAGTCACCTTCCTGGAAAGTGTATGTCCTGAGAGACCTCAGAAAGGGAAGAAGGTGTTGAGATAAATGGTGCATGCTTTTAATACCAGTGCTCGGGAGGCAGATCCCTGAGTTCGAGGTCAGCCTGGTCTACAGAGTAAGTTCCAGGACAGCTAGGGCTGTTACACAGAGAAACTCTGTCTCAAAAAAATAAAAAAGAAGGAGGAGGAGGAGGAGGCAGAGGAGGAAAGAAAAAAAGAAAGAAAAGAAAAAAGAACAGGCCACCTACCTAGTTAACTTGAAGTTTAGATCAACAGTTAATATATTTTTAGTGGACTTTGATAGGTGAGTTTCGGTAGGAAAATGGGAAAATCCTCTTTATGGACTCACTAGTAAGTTAGGGTTGCATCCTAGGTTTCATATGGCTTTCTTTGCTTCAAAGAATTGAGGAAGGTTTATATTCCCGAAACCTGAGGAGCTGTCATAGCTAAAGAGAAGGAATTCTATCTCCAGGAGGGGGACAGCCCTCTAAAGTCAGCCACTGCCCCATTTCTGAAAACCCTGGTATTGCTAGAGCAGAGATCACTTTCACCAAACCCAAGTTGGTGAGGGGCGGAGCCCCTGCACAGGGCGTAGGATGCTGTAACCAGAAGATGGGATCGCAGAACAGCCGCAGCGCAGGATCCGGGTCCTTAGAGCCCTCCCAGAGCTTGTCCAGAAGAGCAGCTGGCTCGCAACCATCTGTAATGAGATCTGGTGCCCTCTTCTGGCATGCAGACATATATTGCAGGCAGAACACTGTATACATAAAAATATTCAACTCCAGTTTATTTATGATGGGGAAACACACAAACCTCAATTGAATGGAATTCTACAATATTTCTGGCCATCACTCATCAACATTATCAAAGTCATCAAAAATAAGGAAAGCCCTAGAAACTGCCACAATCAAGAGGAACCCAAAGAAGCATGATTGTGGTAGTTTGAAGGAAAAAAAAAATGGCCTCCAAAGGGAGAGGCATTATTAGAAGGTGTGGCTTGTTGAAGTGAGTGTGGCCTTGTTGGAGGAAGTGTGTCACTGTGGGGATGGGCTTGGAGGTCTCTAAAGCTTCACTCAGTGTGACACTCAGACCATGGCTTGCAAGATATAGGGCTCTCAGTTACTCCCCCAGCACCATCTCTGCCTGCATGCCACCATGTCCCACCATGATGATAATGGGCTGAACCTCCGAAATGTAAATGAGCCACCCCAGTTAAATGTTTTCCTTTATAAGAGTTGCTATAGTCATGGTGTCTCTTCACAGCAATAGAAATCCTAACAAAGACACATGATGAATAGACTTTTTGTGTATCTTGAAGGGGACCTTGTTATAAGAAAAGGACATAGGGAGGGAAGGAAGAAATTTCAAATAAAAGATGGACTTTATTAATAATAATATCCAGCATCACTTTATTATTTGTGACAAGGAACAGCACCTACCGCAATATATTAATAACGGGAGAACTAGGTGCAGAACACCTGAGGACTATCTCTCTTTGTTCTCTCTGTAAACTTAAAACTATGCTAAAAATTTAAAAGATATGAAAAAAGGAAAAAACTATATGGGAATATGGTGCCAGCAGAAGACCTGAGCTCAGGGTCCGGCACGCTGCTCACAACTCCAGCTCCTTGGAGACCCAAGGTCTCAGGTCTCCACAGGTACTGCGCTCACATGCATAGCAACACACCTACCCCAACACACACATGCACCTACAAATAACTGAAAATAAAAATGCTTCTTTTTTCATAAGGAAAAAAGAAAAAATAGCCAGATTCTTCAGTTATCAGCAGACTTCGAATTCAGCAATATCCTCCCCTGACTCTACTTCATCCGAGTCTTATGACAGGGTGTGGAGGCAGGGCCACCACTGTACCCTCTCTGGTTAGAGGTCAGCAGGTCAGAGCAGTCATTTCCAAGAATCCTTGTGCCTCATTTTCCCTGGCTGAGCACATGCTCAATCCCTGAGACCCAAGGAACCAAAAGTCCCAAGTGGCTCACATCTGTCATCTGTTGCAGCTCTGAGGCAGGGGCTGATCAGGGGAGAAGGGGGACACACATGAAACTTGAGGGCTGTTACTCAAAGCAAGTCTGGGGGTTAAAACGACAAATGTCTGACACCAACTTCAACATTTTGGGTTTTGCTTTGTTTTGTTTGTTTTGAGATAAAGTCACGTTGTATAGCTCTAGCTAGCCTGGAATTTGTTGTATAGACCAGGCTGACTTTGAAATCACAGTGATCCCCCTGCCTCTGCTTCCCAAGTGCTGGGATCAGTGTGAGCCCCCACACCTGACTACTCACTTAAGTTTTTTACTTCACTTCAAGTTAAAAACTTGGACCTTGTAGAAAAAGACAAGATCTAAATTATGAGCGTGGGGGGGGGGGAGGCAGGGGGGAGGGTGAAAGGAGAGAGGGGAGGAACAAAGGGGAGTAGGAAAAATGTATAGCTTAATAAAAGCAATTAAAAAAAAAACAAGAAGCCTTGCCTGGATGATCAGTGACTTGTGGTTTTTCATATCCCATCCCTGAGGATGCTTTTATGTAATAAAATGCCCAGTAATCATCCTATAAAACAGCAGTTCTCAACCTGTGGGTTGCAACCCCTCGGGGGGTCATGTATCAGACACCCTGCACATCAGATATTTACATTATGATTTATAACAGTAGCAAAATTATAGCTTATGAAGTAGCAACAAAAATAATGGTTGGGGGGGACAGGAGGTCACCACAACCACAACATGAGAAATTGTATTACAGAGTCACAGCATTAGGAAAGTTGAGGACCACTGCTGTAGAAGAATAAAATAAAATAAAATAAAATAAAATAAAATAGGGAACGGGATTGAATAGGCTAAGCTAAAGAAACACAGATTTGATATCGCTATTTAAATGGCATCAGTACACTGTTCAGGAGTTTCTTCCCCTTTTCAGCCAGTGACCCCAGCAAGTGTTCAGAGTGAGTTCACCCTCACCAGCAGGAGAACATGGCTGGGACATCTACAGTGACACAGGGCTTTTGGCTGAGAGCAAACATGGCGACCTGCCATTGATTCCGGTGCTTTTTCAGGGCATCTCCTGAGTCTTGCAGAGGCCTGTTTATACTTTACCGTTATAGCCTTGGATTCTCAGTCATCTTCAGAAAGGTGTCCTGAATCTACCTCATGATCTTCTGTGAGTCAGATTCTCAGGTTGCTTCTCAGTTGGGAGTACAATTGCAGCTGGCACCATCTAGCCTTCAGAGTCACCAAAACACCCAACCTTTAAACAAAATTTTTTAAAAAAAAAGCAAAAACTACTTTATTGAATCTTTAGGGGTTTCACATCATGCATCCCAATTCTGTTCACCTCCCGGCTCCCCATATTCCCTCCTCATCCCTGTTGCATCACCCCTACACCCACAAAACAAAACTAAACAAAGTCAGCAAGCAAGCAAACAAAAGCAAGAACACACACACAAAAAAAAAACAATAAATCAAAACAAAAACAAAACCACATCCAAAACAGAAAAATCTCTGCTTTTCCTTCTCTCCTGACTCCATCAGCTCCTCATCTGTCCTGAAGGCACTGGAAGCTTCGGTGTGTCCTACAGTATAGCCCAGTATCCCAACAGCTTGATTGGCAACCGCTCATGGTGATGAGTCACTGGTCTGCTTCAAGGCCTCTAGTTCTTGGTACACCATCCTCACTTGGTGAAGGAGGGTCTTCTTTTTATGTGTTGCTTTCATTGGTCGAATAAAGAAAACTGCCTTGGCCTTTTGATAGGGCAGAACTTAGATAGGTGGAGTAGACAGAACAGAATGCTGGGAGGAAGGAGGTAGAGACAGAGAGCCGCCCGCCATGAAGCTGCCAGATCAGACATGCTGAATCTTTAACAGTAAGCCAGGAGCTCGTGGTGACATACAGATTATTAGAAATGGGTTGAATCAAGATGTGAGAGTTAGCCAATAAGAGGCTAGAACTAATGGGCCAGGCAGTGTTTAAATGAATACAATTTGTGTGTTGTTATTTCGGGGTAGAAGCTAGCCAGGCAGCCTGCCGCTCCTTTTACAACACTCACTGGAGCTCTCTGCAGTCTCCCGTGTCTTGGAGATCTTGAAGGTATCATTCTGCAGGACCAGTTCCTTCACAGGCTCCAAAAGGACCTAGATGGGATAGATTCTAGGGTGAGCCAACCCAAGGCCCAGTTATGGGCCTGGATGTTAGCAGGTCAGGTCAGATTGAGCCATTGGGGTCAGCCACCTCAAGTGGAGAAATCAGCTCCCCTAAACACAGGCTCTCAGGGTAGGATCATCCTTGCCTGTGGTGATGGGTAGGAGACCTCTCTCCCAAGTGCAGGGGCCAGCCAACTCTCTTGCTGTAGTGGCCAGTGAGAACGGCCAGATTTCCCAGAGCAGCGACGGGCAGGACTGGCCCAGTATACCCTCTGATCTTATCTCATACGATTCCTAAGGCCTCCTGAGATGATATTGGCCACAGACACCAACACAGACCCCAACTGCAGCTAGACCATGGACCCAGACATGGCCTTGGGCAGCAGCTTAGGACCGAATGACATCCTGGCTCTGGGTGGAAGGAATGCCCACTCAGGTGAAAAGGGTTCTGGCAACCGTGTGGTCTCTGGGCACCATCAAGGCTTCAGGTTGTGCCCCCAACCTGGGCCTCTGCAATAACACCCAACCTTGAGGTCCAAAAACTCTCCCCCACTAACTGCCCCCAGTCAGAGGTCAGACTTCTCCCACTCCTTGCCCAGTTCTCTGAAACTTCCTCAAGCCCTCCACCTCCTCCATTCTTAGTGGCCTGGGGTCATTCCTCTGAAATCCAATGACAACCAGCAGTTGAGAACAGTTTGCCCCACCCCGCTACTGCCTACAGCACCTGGATCTCCTTGGGGCTCAGTCTGCTCTAGGGTTATGAGACAAGACACATCGCCTTTGTCCCCAGAGAGTTACGACAGGACTGAGATGGCAAGAAAAATCCAAGGAGCTGCACATGAAGCCGGCCCAGAGCTTTAAGGGGAGCCCAGGCTCTTATGCCCAGCAACAATGCCCTCTTGTGACCTCAGTGGGCACCAGGAATACAGGTGGTGCACAGATACGCATGTAAGCGAGACATCCGTACACACAAAATAATAAGAGTAACAATTTTTAAAAGAACACAGTGAACAGTACCCACAGTCCATAGCCTCTTAGGGAATTTCCTCTTTCGCATTTATTGTCTTAGAGTTCAGTCGAGGGGTGCTCTGAGTGTGTCAGCTGCACCAAACGGGTTCACTCCTCCGCCACATTCTGAGTTTCAAGTTTTTGGGTTTTGTTTTTTGTTTTTTTTTTTCTTTGTGGAGGCAGCTTAGGAAAAGAGCTTTGGCGCACACCTCTAATCCCAGCACTCGGGAGGCAGAGGCAGGTGGGTTTCTGTGAGTTCGAGGCCAGCCTGGTCTATGATGAATCAAGTTCCCAGACAGCCAGGGTTGTTACACAGAAAAACCCTGTCTTGAAGAGGAAAAGAAAGAAAAAAGAAAAGAAAAAAACAGAGCTTCGAACTCCTGAAAGATGTTCAAATATCTCAATTACCCCAGACTTGGCTCTGAACAACCCTCTGTCTCCCACATCAAGCACTGGACCTCAGCACTTGCTGCCCTTCCCAAGCAGACATGTGGTCACTTAAGGAAGAATTCGGCTGCAGACCAGGTAGATCCCTTCAGCTCCCACTGTCGGTCGACTTTCTTGGCCCACATGGAGAGCAGACCCAACTCTGCCACGTGCTATACAGTCCTGACAACTTCATTTATCATTTTTTAAATTTTATCTAGCCTTGAATCTTGGAGAGTCCATGGCTTCTCAAGGGTAAGCCAGGAAACACACATGTTCACATAGCATGAGGGGAGCATGTGAGCATGGAAGTCATCCCCCCACCCCCACCCCACCACAGTCCACCTCCCAGGCCCCTGGCTCTCCCACACTGTTCGTGCACCTTCTGCAGGCCAGCCTCCAACACCTCCATAGTTCCCCAAGCGCTGCCTCTAATCTGGGAACAGACCACAGTGGAGCTGCAGCTCACTGGCTTGTGTGAAAACAGCCCGGGGTTGGCCCCAGCAGCTCACACCTGCACACTCCATTCTTCCCCCACTGTTTACACATTGTCATCCGCAATTAATACTTTCTAAGGAACTGCAGGGACTGATTGCCCCACTGCCACACAGGGACCCCATTCGGAGCCCTTGTGTCTGCTAAATTGAGCGTGTGGGCCCTGCGATTAAATTAAGGCTTGTGGCTCTGGCCCTCTGCTCAGACTCCATCACTCCATCCTTCTCTGCCCTGATTCTGCCTCCCTCTCCCTCCCCCTCCTGGCTCTACCTCTTCCACTCCCACCTCCCATTACTGGGCCCCTTTGCAGCTTGATAGCAGGAGATGGGCAAGGAGGAAATGACCTAGTCTGTGGACAGCTAGGAAGAGCAGACATTCATTTAAATTGAAGATAAAAGAAAATGAGGGACCCCTTGGTGAGAAGGCTCAGGAGGAGACAGAGCTGATACGGACAGGGGAAGTAGTGAGGGCCTTGGCTATGGAGGGATCAGTCTCTACAATCAACAGAACGGTGCTCAGGAGCTCAGACACCCACACCAGATATGCCTGGGCTTGATTCCTGCCCTGTCCCTGTTCAGCTCTGCCATCTTATATTGTGTTTTACCAGTCTTAGTTTCTCTGAGTCAGGCAGATGACTCCCAACAGGCAACAAAGGGCCAGGCATCTCCAGGGGACAAGAAGCTGGCCTTAGTTCTTGTAGAGTTCTTCTTGGGGTTGATCATCTAGTAGCCATGAGCCCATGGAAACTGTCTATAGCACTAACAGAGGGAAGGCGGCGGTTATAAGCCAGATAAAGGGCATGGGCTGCTAGGTGGTGGTGGTGCACACCTTTGATCCCAGCCCTCGGGAGTCAGAAGCAGGTGGATCTCTGAGTAAGAGGCCAGCCTGGTTTACAGAGTGAGTTCCAGGACAGCTGGGGCTACACAGAGAACCCCTGTATAGGGGGAAAAAAAGTCATGGGTTACATCATAGAGCCATGGTTCTCAAACACCACCAGGAACCAGAACCCACCTGGAGTATCTTCCAAACACAGACTCCTGGTTCTAAGGCCATCTTAGCTGCCTGCAATTTAACAGGTATCACAGAGGGGGCCATTAGACCAGGCTGGAGAAACATAGGCCAGAAGGTGTCAGCCACTACCCTGAGGCCTTCCCAGTGGAAGAAGATCTTGACATTTGTATTTTAGAAGGAAAAGTGGGGATCTTTGGATTAAAAGAAGAGTAAGGATCCAGAGAACAACAAAATGATGAGGAGTCAAATGCAACCCTTCAAATGTTGGGGGCTGGGTAGAGCCAAAGCAAAGCAGGGAAGGTGGGGAAGAGGGGGTGCATTTGAGAACAGGCAAGGCAGTGCCACCAACTGGGTGTGCAAGAGAGGAAAGGGAGAGGCCATGCTGAAGGTGAGTGTTCTGTCTGCCTATGGCACCCAAGGTTCCAGCCTTAGAGTTCAGGAGAGAGAAGCAGGGAAGGGCAGAGTCGGCTGCAGAGCAGGAATGACAGAAGAAATGATTTCTACTTTGGTCTGTTGCCTTGAGGCTCTGGAAAAGCGTCCAGTAAATAGATGGAAATGCATTGTGAAACTCAGGGGAAAGATAAACGTAGCTCTCTCCACCAGGGAATTGGAACACATAACTTGTGTCTGTTCCCCAGAACCTCCTTTAATAAAGGTTGATAAAATCCACCTTTGATCCACGGGTTGAATATGTGAAGGACTGACTTCTCAGGTCCAGGAAAGACCCGGATCCAGTTAAGGTCAGATAGTCAATTCTGTTCTCCCCAGGGAGGAAGTAGTGGCAAGCAGAACAGAGGATGGGCAACTGCACCTGGCAACCTTGGAGGAGAGTCACCTAGACAGAGTAGTGGGGAGAAAAAAGGAGCCAGGAGGAGAAGGCTTCACCACTAGAGTGGCAGAAGGAAGATGACAAGTGGGAAAGATAAAGAAGCAAAAACTAGTGACTATGTGGTTCTTTGGGTGACCAGAAAGGTTACAAGCTTGCGATCAGGAGGGAGGGACAGTAGCAAACCCAGCTGTTGCAATTGCCTTTCTCCAGATGTGTATGTAACAGAGAAAGAAAAGAGAAAGAAGAAATGGGAAACAGAATCTGCATGGTCCTGTCAAATGCTTAAATGTGTGTTTGTGTTTAGGATGGGGAAGATGCATACTCAGAGGTAGGGAGAGTATTCAAGCAGTATTGAAGGAGGAAACACAAAAGTAGACCGTCAATGGACCAGGTTCTAGGAGACAAGAGAAAGCATCCTCCCCGTGATTTGACCTAACTGGGAGATTGGGCCAGAAAAAAAAAGGCAAGAAAACAAAAATGTTCTCTGGGATGAGTAAAAAGAAAAGCAAGAAGGGAAAGAACTGGAGTGGGTAGGTAGAGAGAAGAGGCAGTTCCATTTGGAGCACAAAGGAGGGAAGTTAGGAACTGAGACCTTGTTGTTCTCCATTTTCTTGGGTAAGTGGGAAGCCACTGCCCTTGCTAATGGTGTAGGAAGTAGGGTTGAGCATAAGAAAGCAGCCACCACAGAGAATGGGAGCTTACCAAGTCACCCTGAGAGCTCAACTGTCTCTCTTAACAAGGACAAGTCAAGTTGGCCAAGATTCTGATGCTCACTTGTCCAAGAGTGGAAAGACAAGAGTACACTGGGAATTCCTGGCTATGGAATCTAGGCAGGAAATGAAACAGGAAAGAGAAGAGAGGGAAGTCAGAGAGTAAAGAAAGCTTTTCACATACACAATGATGGGCACAGATCAAAGGAATCCAAGAGCCAACTGATAAAGCTCCCAATACCGCAGTCTGCAATGATGTGAATAACAAAATAAAGTGCAATTATATTAACTAAAAATGCAAATAGTCAGGATTCTATACTGGTAGAAATAAATGATAGACTAAATAATATAAGCTAGAAAGAAAACAGAGACTCCACCATGCAGAAGAATATAAAATTATTTGTGTAGGTATTCTGACCGCAAAAGAAAGGAACATATGCCAGGATTAATGGCAAAAGCCTGTACTCCCAGGTACTTAGAAGGGGAAGCTGAAGTCCCAAGTTTAAAGCCTGCCTAGCTACAGAGTACATTCAAGGCCAAACTGTGAACAACTTTTAAGATCTTGTCTCAAAATTAGAAGTAGAAGAGAGCTGAGGATGTAACTCAGTGATAAAAACAATTATTTCCCTAGATTGTACAAAGCCCTAGGTTCAATCTCCAGTATTATACACACACACACACACACACACACACACACACACACACACCTTCACAGACAGAGAGAGAAGGATAGTTAGTATCCTAGCTAGATTTCTGTGACTGTGATAAACATCATGACCAGTAACAACCTGGGGGAGGAAAGGGTTCCTTTCAGCTTATAATTCCACATCACAGTTCATCATGGAAGGAAATCAAAACAGGAGCTGAAGCAAAAACCATTAAACAATGTTAAGAAGTGGCTTGCTCTCACAGGCTCATGATCGGCTCGCTTTCTTATGTACTGAAGGACTGCCTGCCTAGAGATAGTGTTGCCACAGTGAGCTGGGACCTCAAAGATTAATCATCAATCAAGCCAGTTACTCACAGCTACGCCTGTCAGCCAATATGACAGATGCAATTCTTTGATTGAGGTTCCCTCCTTCCCAGGTAACTGTCAAGTTGATGATAAAAACTAACCATTGTAGTTGGAATATCAAAGCAAAAAGGCTAAAACACCAACAAGAAAAAGAAAGTGAGACCTTTTGATAGCAATGCTTTACACCAAAACATCCAGGAATATGTGAATATGGGGATTTTATACCCAGCTAAATTGACCTTCAAGTTGAAAGGTCACAGAGAAACGTTTAATAATGTTCAAGAACTTAGGAATATATTTATTATGATCCCTTCCTAAAGAATACACTAGAAAGTTAATTTCAGA